CTGAGTTCAAGGCTAGCCCAGTCTACACAGCAAGTTCTATGCCAGGCAGGGTTACATAGTGAGATCCTGTCTCCAAAAGCAAACAATCAAAAAACTGGAGAGATTTCATATTAAAAGTTTAACAATGCAACTGAAGACTTTAGGGGAAAAAAATCACATCAAAAAGCAAAGTAGATGGAAAAAGATAGAAAAAATAAATAAACCAGGGCTGGAATTAATGAATTGGAAACAAAAGACAAACCAAATAATCAATGAAATGAAGAGTTGGTTATTGGAGAAGATCAACAAAATTGAAAAACTTTAACCTAATTAATCAAAAAAGAGAAAGAGAGGACCCAAATTAATAACATCAGAGACAAAAAGGAAAAAATTGCAACAGGTAGAAGAAATTCACAGAATCATAAAGACATGCTTTATAAATCTATATTCAACTAAGAGGGAAAAATCTAAAAGAAATGAATTTCTAGATATGTACAACCTACAAAAATTAAAGAGGAAGTAAATAATTTAAATAGACCCATAACAACCAATGAGATAAAAGCAGTAATTACAAACCTAAAAATACCCAGGACCAGATGTATGCAGTTCAGAATCTCTCAGACCTTCAAAGAACTAGCAACAATATTCTTTAGATTATTCTGTTAAATAGAAAGGGAGGGAACACTTCCAAATTCTTTCTATGAAGCCAACATTATGCTGATACAAAAATCACGCCAAGATTCAACAAAAGAGAGAAAATTGTAGGCCAATCTCTCTGATGAACATAGGAACAAAAGATATCAATAAAATACTTGCAAACAGAGTGTAAGACACATTGAAAAGATTATCATAAATCCTGGAGAAAATTCTAACTCTGTCATATCTCATGACAAATGAAATTTCTTACCATATCCTAAATACAGATCTTTATACTTACAGACAAGTGTACCATACACAATCATCAAAGAAGAACCTTTTGGAAACAGATGGAGGCTATTACAGAGTCCCACAAATGGTCACACACAGAGCATATGTATGAGAGATGTCTAGTCCTAAGTGACACATCTACAGTGGAACCTCTACACCTAAGACTCATGGAGCATAGTGGAACAGAGGGTAGAGAGAATACTAACACATCCTTCAACTCTCATCAGCAAACTTCCTCATAGAACAAAGTGTGATGCACACAGAAGGCCACAACTGCCCAAGGTGTAGAGAATAAGAGAGTGCAGTGTGTGTGTCCCACGATAGAACTCCTATATCAAACCTCACCCGCCCATGGCTCTAGGACCATTGCAGAAGAGGGGGAGGTAAGATTGTAAGAGCCAGGGTTGGTGCATAATCATAAGTAAACAGAGGCTTTCAGACCTCTGGAAACTTGCTTATGTGAACTTGCAGCAATGGTGACAGCATGTATAAGACCAATGCTAACTCAAACAGAAAAAAAAATGCAGCATAGAACTAAGGGAAATGAGCATCAGGCCCCAACCCTCACTTAGGAACTGTTACTGCTGAGAGTAGATCTCCTTTACAGTCTCTAGATAAGCTGAATAGACTCTAGTGCATGTACTTGCACCAAAGGACATCTGAGTACAAATACTTGATCGTATAGAACTTGACATATATATGAGAGAATGCATGAAATCCATTGGAGATGGCTTTGGGGGAGTGTTTATGGGGGAGGGATCTAAATTTGGTTAAGAACTATTATAGGAAATATACAAAAACTCAATAAAAGTATTTTTTAATCTGCATATCGATAAGGAAGATGGTTTATAATAATGTAAATATGCTTAATGTCACTAATCTTTGCATTTAAATTTGTTAAAATGGCATTGTGTGTATGTGTGTTTCACAACTTTAGAAAATGAAAAGGGAGACCCATGACTGAAGTTAGTGACCGACAAGGGCAAAAATGAATGTTTACTGTTAAACAATAGAGATTAAAGCTTTGTATTGCTTTGCTGGCCCTGGAATTGGGGACTATGTTAACTTGGTTTAAATGCAAAGATAGATAACGAGGAAAAATGATTCCATGTGAAGTTCAGTCAGTTCCTCATCACCTCAGATGCTAAAGGAAAGAAGATAGTAGATTCTCCTCTGTAGAACACTTCTGTTTCTGTTCCTTAACTCCAGACGTACTTGTACATGAGTCTTTGACTGTGAGTGACTTTCTCAATGGCTACTGATTGAAAGCATTGTTTCTAAACATGTGAATCAGCATCTTCTCTTTTTGGTGTAGAAAGCAGATACATGCCCCTTAATCACTCGGAAAAATGAGTGAAGTGGATAATTACATTCACAGAAGTTGATAAATCTTTTATTTTCCTGTCCCCAGTCTTTGATAGTTAGAGATACTAAATCAATCCCTTTGACTAAATGGTCACTATTGAAAATATCAAAATCTTCCATGCTAATCATACACGTCTTGAATGCTAACATTTTAACTTTTGAAGCGGTCATATTATTTAGACTAGTCACGTTTTCAAAGATAAATCTATTCTCTAAATGCTAAACTATGACTAAAACTACTCTATCCTAGGCTACTGTTAACAAGGCCACAATTAGAAAAAAAAGGTTTTGAAATTTTTGATAAATGTATTCAAAATTATATCACTGTTATCCTACACTACAGCATAAACCCATCTTTACCCCCACCCTGACTGCATTGCTAAAACTAGTCACTATTAATGATGTTTATGGGTACCGAGTGAGAGTAAGCAAAAGATTTAGACTGTTACCTTGGCAGAGATTTCAGCAGAAACAATTATCAGTCCTCTGGGGACTTAAGAGGTCAAAGCATTACTGTATCCTACTATGAAATTCTATTTAAACAATTCTTTAAAATCAAGGCAGTAAGAATTTAAACAGGGTCTGTGAGTCAATGTCCAGAGCAAAACATGTATCAACAAGATGATTTGTTTAAGAGATACTATTCTTGAACTTCATGAGTTTTTAAAGAGGTAAGTTAAAGGAGAGCTTGAGATAAGAATGAAAGGAATTTTCTCTGCACAATGTTTATGGACAATAGAAAGTAAAACACATGCCCAAGGTGCTAGAGAAATCATTGTACTTATTCTATCTACTTATACATTTTGTAGTTGAATACAATAATGCTTTCTGATTTGAGATATTTGACTTTCCTCACAGCTTTTTGTTCGAATTGAATATAATTCAAATATCATTTATTTGGATTACATCATTTCCTATATATATGTATATATATATGTGTGTGTGTGTGTGTGTGTGTGTGTGTGTGTGTGTGTATATAAAATAGGAAACTGAGACTGTGAGTAGGAATCAAGTCCTAGAACTATCAAAGTTCTCTAACTCAAGCAGCCCATTTCAGAATGAATCTCAGCCAATAATAAATACACCCACATTAGAGAACAGTCTAGACAGATAATTCTACTGTCAATTTACAAGGTCCATTGAGTGTTGTGTTACTTATTGCCACAGGGCAAGAAACAAGGACTGAACTCATTCTAAAAACAGAGGAATCCACAATTAAGTAGACAAAGGTCAGTGAAAACTGTATCTTTTTTCTAAAATGTTGGGCAGATTAACTTGTTTTGGCCTATTTATTTTCAGTGAAGTAGACCTTGGAAATTATATAGTAGAATTGAAGTTTAATATTTTTCCATGTAAGTGAATGAATGAAAATTAAGGTATTAATAGAAAATACTTTCTGTAATTTTTCTAAATCAGGGCTGTTGAGAATGATTGAAGAAACTTTTAAGACTGTGGTTTTTTGTCTCAGCAAATGCACAAATTGGTAACAGTTGTGTTTATAATGGCTTGAAGTTTTTTCAGTTTTTCTGATTTCTATTCTGCTTCTTTGAGGTTAGAATTTCTGAATTAAATTCAGTAAGACTGATTAAACACATGTTCATCATCTATAGGTATCATGAATAGAAGGGAAACAGGAAATAAACTGTTCTGAAAACCAAATATGCTTTAAAAAATGTGTTTTTCCTTTTCTTCATTGTAGCTGAAATGTCTTAATGCTGACCTCTGTATCCAAACTTTGAGGTAGGTATAGGGAGGAAATTATGCAGTATATTTTTGGCAGGGGTTGGTTAAAGAGGCAGTAAATGGAAAGAGAGAGAATAAAAGACCCTCTGCTCTTTATAATAACACAGGCAAATGCTTGAAAATCTACATATAAAAACTAAATATATTTGTATAGCTTCAATATTTCTTCTAGGAGGCAATGAAAACTACAAATTCACCTTATTTTGGCTGAATTTATCCCAAAAGGGAAAAGTGTGTTTTCTTAGTCAACCCTCTTGTATCTTACCAATAAAAATTCAAAGTAACCTCCTGTCTCATGTAATTCCATTTGTAAAATGTGAAAACAGAGAAAACTAGCTAATACACTTCCAAGATATGGAGAAAAGGGTGATAAAAGAAAGGATCGTGAGGAGCCAATTATAAAATCTGGGATGCCAGAAAGAATCATGGTCTAAAAAAAAAAAAAAAAGAAAGAAAAAAAGTTCTGTTGGAATTCAGAAAGGAAATAACCCCAAATGCAGTTCTGTCTCTATCTCTCAGTCATGTTCATTCACATGATAAGAAGAATCATGCATCCAGAAGACAGGAACCTTAAATTTTACCCTCACACTTTAGTATGCCACTTAGGTGGCTTTCACGAATATTGTACTCATACATCTAAAATGTCCATGTTAATACAAAAACAAAATTTCAAAATAATTGATATTGATAATATTTGTGCCACAAATGCACAATAATAAAAGAAAGTCATGTCCGAAACCATTCCAAGGACAAAGAAAATTTGGAAATCAAGTGTAAAGCAACACTCAGTAGGATGTTGCTTTACTTTACTATAATTTAGGTAGTATCACTATACCATCACAATAAACTAGGAGTAAGCCTCTGCTCTTTAAAATGGCCTACAAAGTGATGTCATCTGCAGAGGTACAAATGTAGCTCCTTTGATTTCAGGGACTGGAATGTTTTAGTACTGGATTTAAAACATCATAACTTAGAAATGTTATGGGTTTTTTTTCCAGATGACCACAGATTCACAACCTGAATTAAATTGGTAGAAGAAATGAGCAATGTTACAGAATTCATCCTTCTTGGCTTGACCCAAGACCCAGAACTGCAGAAACTCTTATTCATTGTGTGCTTCATAATCTATTTGGTCACGCTGACAGGCAACATGCTCATCTCCATCACCATCTTCATCAGCCCGGCCCTGGGTTCCCCCATGTACTTTTTTCTCTCCTACTTGTCCATCATAGATGCTTTCTACTCTTCCTCCATAGTGCCCAAAATGATCTCTGACTTAATCTCTGAAAAGAAAACCATATCCTTCAATGGCTGCATGACTCAGCTTTTTACTGAACACTTTTTTGCTGCAGCTGAAATCATCTTGCTGATTTCCATGGCCTATGACCGCTATGTGGCCATCTGCAAGCCTTTGCACTACATGACCATCATGAGACGACCTGTATGTATTTTCCTTGTGGGGGCTGCTGTAATATTGGGATTCATTCATGGAGGGATACAGATTTTGTTTATGGCCCAATTACCATTCTGTGGCCCCAACACCATTGACCATTTTATGTGTGATCTAATACCACTCCTGGAGTTGGTCTGCATGGACACTCACACTCTGGGGCCCCTGATCGCTGCCAACAGCGGGTCACTGTGTTTACTCACTTTCTCTATGCTGGTTGCTTCCTATGTCATCATTCTGCGCTCTCTGAGGAATCACAGTTCTGAAGGACGCCACAAAGCCCTGTCTACCTGTGCCTCTCATGTCACTGTTGTTATCTTATTCTTTGTACCTTGTTCATACTTGTACTTAAGACCAATGAACTCCTTCCCTCCTGACAAAGCTGTGACTGTGTTTTGCACCCTAGTAACACCTATGTTGAACCCTTTAATCTATACCCTTAGAAATGAGGAAGTCAAAAAGGTTATAAAGAAGCTCTGGAGCAAATAATGAAAACTAGTGATAAATAAACCCAGTGATACATGTATTTCAACAGAAATATCTAGTGATATTTGATATATATGTTTTCTCCTTAAATTACTAAAATGAAGATAGCAATCCATCCTCTGGTCACCAAATTTTAATTTGATAACAATTTCATTTATTAATGGAGTACAATATCAACACATATACAATATATATATAATCAAATTGGAATGGTATTTCAATCTCATTAAATAGCAATCATTTCTTTGTGTTGAGAATCTTTAAACTATTTTCTAGTTACTCTTGAAATATGTAATAAATTGTTGTGAACTATCTTCATCTTACTGTATTCCTCCTATGCAGCTGTATTTTGGTACTTGTTACCCAACTTCATTGGCATCCCCCCTGCTTCCCAGCCTTCCTAGCCTCCAGTTACCACTGTTCTATTTTCAGCTTCCATGAGATCAAACTTTGTGGCTTTCACATATGCATGAGAACATAGAGTGTTTTGCTTTCTGTACCTATTTCCTCTACATCATAACTTCCAGTTCAACCTACATTGCCACAGATTACAGGATTACATTCTTTTTATAACTGATATTATTCCATGGATATATATATATATATATCACATTTTCTAAATCCATTTTTCCATTGTTGGGCACATTAATTTTTATCATGATTAAATATAAGGTGGCTGGACTGACATATTTACTAACAAGCATTCCTTAGGAAGAGTCACAAGAGCCCACAATACTTTCAGGAAATCCTATGAGTCTTAATTTCCTTAAAATAGGAAAGAAAAAGTAAACATGATCTAAATCCAACTTGAACTATATTTATTATTATGCCAATGCACTCTTAAAATAACAATTTTAATATTGTTAAGAGAGTGCTTGTGAGGGAAAAAATATAAAGAACTCATACACTTGTATGTAACAGATCAGCACTAATATTCTTATTACCATTTGTGCTTAGCACTGTAGTCAGAGCAAAGATTTGCTGTGAGACAAAAAGGGAACTACATATTAAAGGAATATAGACTAGTAGGAAAAGTTTTCACAAAAAAGTTCCCTAAAATATACTTTCTGTCTTCCTAAATTATAGACGTTTCCAAATGTTCTTCTAAGCCAGTAGGAAAGCTTTTACTTAATACAACCACAGAGAGAGCACTTGGACTTCATTTTCATGTTCTCAGAAATACCTTGCTTTTACAATTGCTTCTCTGCTATTTCTTCTAGTATGAAATTATCTATAGAAAGAATGGGCATTATGAGCTGACACAGTGTATAAAATGCTTGCATGCAAGCACATGGACCTAAGTTCAGATGCTCAACATCCACATAAAAGTTGGACTTGGCAGCATGTATCTGTACCCCTAGTACTGGGTAAAGGAGAGAAGTGGGTTCCAAGGCTGGCTGGCTAGCCAGTCTACCTGAATTGATCAGTGAAAGGCTGATCACAAAGTCAGGTGGTGAATTCTGGTCTACACACAAAAAAATAATTATTGACCATTAAAATATAAATTTCGAGTGAGCTTTTTAAAAAGAATTGGGAGCAAAATTAGCTGAAATGAAAGAAATATGTGATAAACCCTTTACCACATATGACTTAGTCTCTTGCCTCCAACACTAGTTACCACTCTAAACAGAAGCCAGTGTGCTTCACCTGCACCTAATATATCTGGCCTGATTCTTTGGTAAAAGGAAGTAGAATTACACACTTCCTTAAATAAGAAATAAATGATGTGCATTGAAATTACGCATCCCTTGAAAAATAGTGAAGATTGCACAAAGATCAGATGAGCTTCAGGAATGTCACCAGGGGATAAAGGAAGCTGGGGCTGCTGTTCCTAACAGAAAGAAGTCTTAACACACATTGCTCTGCACCAGCCATGATCAAGGAAAGACTGGACCTCTGTCCTAGCCTCACCACACTTAAAAGTACATCAATAATGGCATCTATTCTTCATATGGACGATATCATAATCGATCATGAGATTGGTGAGGAAGCATAGGGTATTACAGTGGCCAGGTCGCTGGAAATCAAGAGTAAATCCATCCTCTTCTGGATTAAAATGCTGCTATAGCGAGTTTCTGCAAATTGAAACAGTCCTACTGGAAGAATGTTCTGTAAAACTCAGGAATTAAATAAAATTTACAAAGCTCAGGAAGTAGATTTATCAAGGTCTGGGAAGCTTTATGAAACTTACAAGGTTTACAAGGTCCCTCGCCAAACTTATATAGGCAGTTGTAAATCCGGGAGAAAGGAGACTAAGGTACTACAGGTCATTCAGGGTACTCTGGATGCAATTTTCAGGAGTTACTGCCATGCTACAGTGGGCTCTTCAATCATGCTCCTCTTAGTAACTCCTCACCCATACTCCTGTATGTAACTCCAATAAATTCACTGGCTCACTAAGCTACACTTGGGTGAAATTATTTCTTTGGCCTATTACTGGCTTCCTATCTGGGGTAAACAAATGTTTGTTCATATCTCCACAGGAAAAGTCACAAAGCACAATTGACATCTAACAGAGATAAACAGAGCCAAACAGTTAAGCAGCAGTGGTGGCACGGTCCCTGAAATGGATGCTGAGCCATACAACTGATAACTGATCAATGTAAGGGTAGAACATCTGTGGGGAAGTGCCAACCACTCTTCATGTGGTATGGGACAGTGCATCTCCTTGCTGTCATCATGGGTGCATGCTCCCTACAATGTATGAAAGTTGTACAACCAAGACCAAGCTGTCTGGGAGAGGAGTATCATTGCAGGGGAATCCCAGGGTGCTCATTCTAGATGGTGGCCGTTCTGATTAGGATGAGGTACAATCTCTAAAATAATTTTAATTTGCATTTCTCTGATTAATAAAGATAATGAACATTTTTTCATAGTATTTATTGTCTCCTGTATTTCTTCTTTTGAGAGTTGTCTGTTCAGATCATGACCCATTTGTTTATTGGCAGCTTTGTTTTTTATGGTGTTTGATATTTTTTCATTTCTGTATCTAGCCTTCTCTGAAGCATAACTGTAGAAGACCTTCACTGTGTTCATTCTGTTAATAGTTTCCTTTTCCGTACAGATCTTCTTCATTTTATATAGTCATATTTGTCAACTTTGAAGCTGTTTCCTGAGCTGTTGGGATTCTATTCAGTAATTTCTTGTTAATACCTATATCCTGAGGTGTTTTGTTTTCTTTTTAAAATTTACTTATTTTTATTTTATAAGTGTGTGTTGCCTATATGTAAGTTCACTCATGGCATGCAATGCCCTTGAAGGCCAGAAGAAGGCATCAGATCCCCTAGAACTGGAGTAACAGACAGTTGTTAGTCACCATGTGGGTGCTGGGAACTGAAACCAGGTCCTCTGCAAGAGCATTCAGTGTTCTTAAATGTTGAGCCATTTCTCCAACCCCTCTCTTATGTTTTCCTTTAACATTTTCAGCAGTACAGTTTTAAAATAAGGTCTGAATCAGGAGTGAATTTTTCAGGGTGAGAGATTTGAATCTAATTTCATTCTTCTACTAGTAGCTATTCAATTTTGCCAAAAGCATTTATTGAAATACTGCTTTTTTCCAGTTCATGTTTTTGATAACATTTGTTGAAGATGCTGTCTTTTCTCTAATACATTTTTATGTCTTTGTTCAAAGTCAGTTGTCTATGGTTGTATGTATATACATCTGGGGCCTTTATTCTGTTACACTGACCTATGTTAGTTTTTGTACCAGTGCCATATTGTTTTCATAACTATGACTCTGTAGTATAACTTGAAATTGGGTATAATGAGTTTTCCAGCAGTATGTTTTTATCTAAGCATTGTTTTAGCAATTGCAGAATCTTTTGTGATTCCATATGAATTTTTAGTTTTGTTCTATTTCTATGATTAATGGCACTGGAATTTTTATTGGGATTGCTTTTAAACTGTAGGGGTGTTTTTCTAACCTATGAACATAGGGTATCTTTCCATCTGGTTGCAAAACATGGAAAAGTCAAGCTGAAATGAGCTAGAGACTTCATCACCTCCTATAGATTTTGCTTTCATAGTATGGGAAGGTGTTATTCAGGTTGCTAGGAAAGAAAAATGTTATGCAATTGTGAACCCTGCAAATAATACTGACCTTCCAGGCAGGTTGTACCCACTGGTGCATTAGTGGCATGATTATTTACAGAGTAACCAACTGCTTTCTGATTTGTCAGGAAGCCTACTTTGCAGGAGGGAATTCATACCTAGTAATATAAACCTGGTCAAAAGCCCAAGACAATAGAGATCATAGGCCCTAGGAGTGATCCTATTGCTGTTCCTTAGTTTGGCTAAATGGACATGGTTATCAAGCTACCTTCTAAATACTCATGTTTATACCCATATACTGTTTCAGCCATTGTCAGATACAACATTTAATTCAGAGACTTCAGAAACTCATCAAAGTGCTGAAAATCAGTGACTTTTGAGTGTTCAGCCCTAAACAGGTCCTGCATACACCACCACCACCCCGAGGCTAAAGAATCATCAAGAAAGAGGAGTGGAATGAATGTAAGAAGTAGAAATGAGAGGAGTGCCAGGAAGTGCTGTTTTTTGGAAGGACATGTCCATTACACTCAAGTATTTACAGCAGCTGTGGCTACCTGCCCAAGACCTGCATAAAATCAGGCCCAACAACATATTCATGGATAAGGGATGGACTCATGACATCCTACCCCTCTCTGATGCATCATTAGCAGTTAATGATTGCCAGGGAGGAGGAGGCAGTTTCTTCAATGGTGAAGGCATTGGTAAATTGCCAGTAAATAGCTCTCCACCCATGTTCATGCAAACAGCTATAATTAAACTCAGTGGGTTACAAAAAGGATAAAATAGAATAGGTGCCTGTTGGGAAGAAGTGGTTCAGCAGGAATGGGAGAGAGGAGGAGAGATGTTAAAGGAAGTGACAATGTCCAAAGTATGTGGATATAACGTATGAAATTGTCAAAACATAAAAGATAACGAAAAGGAAAAATGTCTGGAGAGAGTGGCACTGGTTTTTCCTTTTAGAATAATATTGGCTAGAAGTTTGTCATATTTAGCCTTTGTTTATTC